GAGTTCCTACTTATTTAAGAAGAGTTATAAAAATCCTGATATTTGGGGTTTGATACATTTAAATGCCAGAGCTACCTCTGGTTGCCCCACTCTCCACACATCAAAAACCACCCATTCAAATACACCCCCCCAGCACTTCTGTTTACTTAGGGCACTTGATAAACTGCTGTTTTACTGGTCTTTTAAAACTGCTTATTTCTGAACATGTAGCCTTCTAGCCTTAACGAAAGGATGAGTATTACTACAGGTGTCAGTGAAGACTCATAAATCAGCAAAGAACCTTGATTCTCATCAACCCTCCTCCTGGCTCCCCACTGACACATAAATTCCAGAGCACATTATTGACAAATGTGACCTAAAGTCTTACTAAAATCTAAATTGTGACCCACGCTATTAAGGATCTGAGCTCTGACTAGCCCTCCACAGCATTTTTATTAAGCAAGCACATCCCACCAGTCAAGTCATTTCACTACATGGTACTGGACAGTTAATTCAGGTTGATTTGTTCTGGTTACCTGAGCACAATTCCTACCGCAACAGAAATCTGTAAGAGTTTCTGTATTAAGTTCAAATTCTAGCAGCATTTTGGCATCGACAGCAAATTTAACCTACCAGATCCAGCAGCGCTTTCCACATTCAAGAGATGAGAATAAGTATATATACCAAAATTTAACCTACCAGATCCAGCAGTGCTTTCCACATTCAAGATTTGGTATATATACTTACTGCATTTAACCTACCAGATCCAGCAGTGCTTTCCACATTCAAGATTTGGTATATATACTTATTGCATTTAACCTACCAGAACCAGCAGCGCTTTCGACATTCAAGATTTAATATATAAATAAAATCTTGAATGTGGAAAGCGCTGCTGGATCTGGTAGGTTAAATGTAGTAAGATCTAGCAGTTCTTTCCATGTTCAAGATTATAGTAAGTCTGTATACCAAGATTTAACCTACCAGATCCAGCAGTGCTTTCCACATTCAAGAGACTGGGATAAGTCTATATACTAAAATTTAGCCTACCAGATCTAGCAGTGCTTTCCACATTCAAGGGATTGGAATAACTATATATACCAGTTTAACCTACCAGATCCAGCAGCACTTTCCACGTTCAAGATTGCAAGAAGTCTCTAGACCAAAATTTAACCTACCAGATCCAGCAGCGCTCTCCACATCCAAGATTGCAATAAGTACTGGGACAGACCTTGATGCATCAACTGCAAACAAGACCTTGCAAAATCCCTGACAATAACTTCCCAGCTCCACCCCCCCCCCACCACCCCGTGCGCAGGATGCCCAGAGAGACCCTCAAGCCCCTGTTTCCTTCCTTCCCAACCTGGCTAGCTCACTCCCAACAGGGCACCTTCACATTTAAAAAAAAAAAAAAAAAAATCACGATAAGCTCATCTGAATGCAAGAAGCAACCAGGAAACTCTTGAAAGGGCGGGGGGGAGAAAAAAAAGAACGAAAATAAAAATAAAAATCAGCAGCGCCCCGACACGGTCGACCAGCGCTCCCGCCGCAACCGGGTGCGATACAAGCCTGTTTTCTCGCTGGGGGAGGGGGGGGGGCGGCTTGCCCGCTCCTGCAGCAGCCCCACGGGGCCGGGGCCAGCCCGAGGCACCCGGGCAGCGTGGCCGGGTCCCAGCGCCAACGGATGCGCGCGA